TAAGCCCCATAAATTGCCGGGAGTATAAGGCCTTAGATGTGGTGCATAGAAAACCCTATGTACAAAGATACCAATATCTGAGATCACAATATACCATGGATTACTAAATTGACATAGCTTAGGAGCTTCCTCAACATTTCATGCATTACAAAATGAGAATAACCCATTCTGAATGAGATGCTCTAGGATAAGCCACTTTTTTTTCTTTCTTTTTTTGGGTGAATCAGTGAGGATATCCATTTTATTAATAAACTAAAAATATGTTACATGAACAATTCTTATACAACACTAGCAACATCAGATAAAATGCAAGGCGTTACAAAGTCTGAGGGGCAAGCACGCCACACCGTTGCTTCATTCATATAAACTATTGCATTCGCCAAGGAATCAACAACCATATTAGCCTCTCTATAAGCGTGTTGGATCCTCCATTGATGATCAGCAAAAGATGTAAGCTTAGATATACAATTAGCCAACATTATAAGTAATCTCCAAGGAGGTTTGCAACGGCGATTCATAAAATAAACAACAAGGTTGGAGTCACTTTCAATGACAAGAGGTACACAGTGCAAGTCTCTTGCCAAGGTAATCCCTTTCTCAAGTGCATGGAATTCAGCTATGTTATTAGAATTGTTACCCAAAGGATTTGCAAATGCCACAATGAAACTGCTTGCATCAATAGGATAAGCCACTTTATTATTCCATATATACACTATATTGTTGCAGAAGAGAACTAAATTCCACAAATGTGGAATGCTAGAGATAACTCCAATAAACTTGACATTTTACTTCTAAGTATCCTAAAAGTAATAATGGTTACTCTAAAAGCCAATAATTGTAAATTAAAAGTTAATATCACATCTATCACCCACAGCCCAGAATACCTTCTCAGGATCTAAGTTTCATTTTAAGTGATCTATTTGGAGACCATCCAAAATGTACGTCATAGTTGTGTTAGCAGCTCATGCATATGTAATCTATGTTCCACAAATTTCCCCTCCAAATGCCACTAAAATAGCACTACTTGGATGAGTACAATAGTGATTTTTGACTTTGTATGTCGCTTTAATTTAGGAAATACCTTAAATCGGGTCGCCTACAGACATACAATTTACTGCTGCCATGTTTAAGAAAAGTGCAATTACATATGTATCCATGATCCAAAACTTATATATTATGATGAACATGCAAATATATATTCTTGATGCATAAGTTGCTATATTGAGTTCATCATCATCGTCCAAGTCTTATCTCAATGATTTAGGGTCAGCAACCACAATAAGATGCGGCAATGTTTTACATTGGATGTCTACTTAATGCAACCCACCTCCTTTACCCGAGCCTGAGATGGGTTATGGGAGAGTTTAAAGTCCTCACCCTTATCAGACCAAATTGAGATATGTATAAAATCTCAACATCTAACCGTTATTATTATGACTTCATAGGATGAGCTGTTCCAAGAGGTCAAACTTCTGACATCTCCTTTAGCTAATCCTGCTCAATGCCATGATAGGAAATTACAACTTACCAAAACCAATGTTAAATTAGTTTCAAATTAACAGGCGATAAACAATTACAGCTACACAATAGACCCGTAGAATGTAATTACTTTTGGCTTTTTAAGTTTTCCTGAAAATGGTCCTTATACTAGAAATTTACAAACCATGAATGGATTGATGGATATCTAAATACAGGCTCGAGTGATTCCTTGAACTGAAGCCTATAGGTGCATACAGTTTTTTGTAATTACTATAAGTGAAAACCACAAATTAGAAACTAAAATAAAAACGTAAGTCCAAAATGCACAAAGTTCCTGTAACAAGATGTCCTAAGCAACAAGGTTTAAGGTAAATTTCCAGAATAGAAACGGTGATTGGGAGCTCACCTAGCCGATCCAGATTGGACCTTGCCTATCTAGATTGGGAACTGGTGGGGCCAGTCTAGCCCCCGCAAACTATTGTGAAATGGCCGACTCTCGCTAGGAACTGGACTCATCTGACCGGTTCTCTGATCGAACTGGCAGGCCAAAACTTGACCCCCTTTTTATTTTTTCAAATTTTCTCTATTTTTTTATTTCCCTAATCCGAACTGATTTTACATATGAACGATCCGGGTGACCAATCTATTTTTTAAATTGGTCTCTTCTGATATTAAACCTTGAATCAAGCAAGAGCTTATCTCCTAGACGAAGATTGAATTGATAAATTCCTAGGGTTAACTCTATTTCCCTGACTATCTGACATCAGGAAAGAGGGCATATGACCTTATAAAACTGTGCCCTACTAGGTCAACTTGTGTTGATATTGACCCATGGAATGTTCAAGACAACTCAATAATTAGTAGAAAAGAGAATTACGTATCTACTTTTTTGAAACACATCCCACCCACAAAACAACAAAGACATAAGTCATAGAGTAGGAAAGTATGAACACTCAAAAACTCGAATATAAAAGTCCTAAAAATCATGGGATTTAACACTTCCAAAAAATATCCTGATTGATGCGAAAAGGTAAAACCCTCTGTTTAGAAGTCTAATTACTCTAGTGTGAGCGATGGATCCTTAACATTGACCACCAAATATTAATAAATGTGATCACAAGCAGGACCCACGAGAAATAAAGATGTGAAAAATGTTATATTGTCTTTATCAATGAAACCATATCGAGTAATGTTCATATTACGAAGGACAAAAGTCTAGGGAAAAATCTTCAAGAGTGGTGACTCCTATTTCTATGAAGGCATGACATAATAAATAAGGACAACCCTATAATATCTTGAAAGTGTAATCTAATTGAAAGGCTATTAAAGGTGTGAATGTTCATGAAAGAGCAAGCCAAATTTTAAAAGGTTTGTCTCTCATGCTATTCAATCGAAAGGAACAACATTTTGCAAAAATCAAAAGAAAATTGTTTCATTCGGACTGGACCGCATTCTATAATATGCAGTCCCAAGGTATAAGGCATCCATCTTAAATATGGATGCAAATAGGTGGTCCATCTAAAAATAATTGAAACTAACGGTCCAAATGTTTTTTAATAGAATTATTACTTCAAAATTTTAAAATCTATTTATTTTTTCATATTCATGATCTCCATGTTAGAGATTGCATGTTTTTAAAAAATTAAGTCAAAAAATCCATCCAAAAAAGGTAATTCATTTCTACATGGACTCATAGAAAGTATCCAAAATCAAATGCAAATGGCACATAGACAATTAAGGACGTCATAGGTTGTGGGTTCCATTAATTCAAGTAGTAGTAGTAGTTAAGAAAAATGTCCAACTTCCTTAGGAAATGATATGGGGTTTCTATGGCAATTGACTTTAGTTGAATTTCCTTTATGATGCCTTCGACTCTCACTCAAGTTACACAAACTTTCATTTGAAAACTAAAAAGGCTTCATTTGGAATAATAGCACGTTAACTTTCCCAATTAACTAAGTAAAACCTTTTCCCAACTATACTAATTATGAATCTTGTCCCATGTAAAAGAACCCAAATCACTACTCCAACTAGCTAAAATGATAGCCTCTTGCTAGTAGCCAACAAAAAAAAAAGGCTTCCGGTTCTATTTGAACCGGACCAACCAGACAAGTCGTTCCCTCAGACAAATTGACTTAAGGGTGAGGTTTGCATATGGTGTCTACCTTATATTACACAAGTAAATTCATAAAGAAAAAAAATGCATACTTTTAGCATCATTAACCTTACAATGGTTTGAAAATCCATGGTCAACTCTAAATATGTAATTTAGAATTCTAAAAAAAAAGTGTCGATTGAGCAAATCTATAACTATTTGAAAATCTTAAACATAGACGGTGGATAACATGTTACAAGACGCATTATTTTTAAGAAATAATTTTTTTTGTTATATGAATATATCTCGTAATCGGGTAATCGAAAGGTTTTCAAAGTTTGAAATAATCTTTTTTCGATGGTACAGCTTACTTCTACAACATCTTACTAGAGATTATGGTTAGCAGTTGGAATAAACTCAACGTGGTTGCCCGCATGCGTATCCCTTACATGCAAATGCTTATCCCTGAGATAACGCTGTACATGAGTGACATAGTCCACGCTCACATAATTGCGCTCTCTTCCTAATTGGAGTTTGCGACACAAATACATATCTTTTACGACGATATGATTCCATTTCTCATCATGTGTTCCAATACCCCATGCCTCAAAACCCTAATTTTAGGAGAGAGAGATAAAAGATAAAGATGAAAATCTGTAGAGAGAGAGAGAGAGAGAGAGAGGACCACTGCACAAATAGAAAAAGGAGTGGTTATCCAAATCAGCAAGGGCCATTTGTATGGGGTTTGGTACTCACAGGGGAATCACCTTAAGATGGGCAAATAGAATGGGAACCAAAGAATCTTAGGCAAATGAAAAATGGAGGGCGAGCATTAAATCCTAAGCCCATGCTTGGTGCCTTAAATAGGTCCAAGTACCTAACATCATGCTTAGGTGATGCATACGTCACCGGGCCGTGGACCCCTCCTGGTCATGTAGCGGTGGCCCGTATAAAAAAAAAAAATATCTCTTTTTGTAACATACCAAATTACAATATGAATAGCAACCCCGCTTTTCCGAAAAGGTGCACACATCGCCAAAACAAAAGAGATAAATAATAAACAGGACCGTGAGCTTAGTGTTTAGTGACCCAAAACTAACAAAAAAAAAATAAAGGAACATAAAACAAAAAAATAGGACGGGCCTTAACGGAGACGGCTTGGGCAGAGAGAGAGAGAGTAAAGTTTAGTAGAGAGAGAGAGAGGAGGGAGTGCGTTCCAAGACACAATGATTACACGAAATTGGGGAAGGCAGGAGTGAGGCATGGAATTAGAAAGCGAAGAACATGGGGCTTGACCGAGGCCTGAGGCAGACGGTCGGTATTCCTGATGCACACCTCCCACACTCATAATAATACTAATTTTTTTCCTTTTTCTTACTTAAAAGCAAAAAGATGGAAGACAGTACCCCAGTAGCAAAGGCAAACCCCGCAGTGTAAACCACCCATACATACATACACGCACAGTGCTCTTACCCGAACATAAGGGCAACCAACACGCGCCACCCTCCCCTCTCTTTCTCTCTCTAACTCAATCTTATTAATAGGACCCCTCTCCCTCTCCCTCTCTCTGCTTCACTCTAAAACTTCCACCACACCCGCCGCCGCCACCTTTACTGATAGTGATTCTAGAGAGAGTCTTTTCATATTGATTTTATATAGACAGAGAGAGACTTTCTTCTTTCCTTCTTGTTTTCACTCTGTACCTCCATCACCACCTTGGTTAATAGTGATTTTTAAAGCTAGAGAGAGAGAGAGAGAGATAGAGATAGGGTCCATGCTGATTTTTTAGGGGGTGAGCACCTTTGATTTTAGAGAGAGAGAGAGAGTGGGCGTGTTTTGATAGTTTTGGGAGAGAAAGCTGTTGATGTGTGGAAAGAGAATGGAGGGCTCAGAAGCCCATGGCTCTAAAGCTTTCTCTGATTTTAATGGAGGAGGTTACATTTTTCCAGAGATGAATCAGCAAAGGCCAATGCCGCCGCCCTATATGACCACTGAATTAGGCTCATATAACAACAACAGCGGAGGAGGGCTCGCGATTCCAGGGAATTCAGTTGTCGCGTGGCCTATGCCTCCTCCTCCCCCTCCTCCTCCTCCTCCTCCTCCTGTGGTCCCGAGTTTCAACCCCACTGTGGACCCGGCGGTCCACTTTGCCGTGCAGGCGCGGGAGCACGAGAGGTTTTTGGCTTGTATGGGAGGAGGGGGGTTGACTAATAGGCCCTCCATCTATTCGGGTTTGGGCTCTTCTTCATCTTCTTCTCCTTCGACGTTTCAAGGGTTTGGGAGGAGGGGGATACAGTTCGGTTATGAGAGAGAAAATAACGTTATTTACGGGGGGGTTTCAGATGGGGTTGGGATTGGGATTGGGATTGGAGGAGGCGGAGACGCCGGAAAAATGAGCGCTCAGGAGATTATGGATGCCAAGGCTTTGGCCGCTTCAAAGAGCCATAGCGAGGCGGAGAGGCGAAGGAGAGAGAGGATCAATACCCATCTTCATACCCTCAGAAGCTTGCTTCCCAATACCACTAAGGTCATTCTCTCTCTCTAACTTCCCAACTCTTTCCCTCAACACTTCTTCTCACTCAATAATACACTCTCGCTCTTTATATCTCTCTAACATCATCTCTCTCTCTCTTATTGATTTCTCAAATCTCATCACTCCCCAAAAATCTTTTCACCTCTCCGCGTTTTGTGATGCCCCAAATCTCTTTCACCTCTTCTGATTATCTGATACAGATAATCTCTCTCTCAATCTCAATATAGGCACTGCCTCTCATATCTCTTTCAACTCTTCTTACTTCCAGTATCTAAAATCTCATACTCTCTCTCATATAGTTTCTGTCACTCTTCTTTTATGAATTGAATTAAACTGACTGGCCAGTGATCGTTACGGCTCGTGCCTCCACTTGTGTTTTATGGTTGAGTTTATAGGATTTGTCTGAGGGCGAAAGCTGTGGAAGTAATGTTCTTTGGAGCACAAGGAGTTTGGTAAGGAGTGCAGGCGCCACCCTGGATGTGCACTTGCACCATTGTTTATGCCTATAAAATTATTAATTGGAGAGATAGAAAGAAAAAGAGAGTGTGTGAGAGAGAGGGTTCATGTCGATATGGAGCTGAGGGGCTTTAATGGAGAGTTTTGGATTTTGTTTGTTTTTGTTGTGTGGGTGCTGGTTTTCTCGATCTTCATTGCCCGTCTTATTTCATACATTCTCGTATCTTGGGCTTTATTGCTTTCGTCTTCGTCTTTGCTTCTTCAAACTTCAAAGGCTTTTCTGGGGGACAAAAAGGAAAGAGAGAGAAAAGAAACCACTTTGAGTAATTTTTTTTGAAGAGAGAGAAAAGGCTTCTCTCTCTAGCTCCTTGATTTTCTGTGATGGCACCGACCAGTTGAGACCAAAAGCTTTGAAAGGAGACCGGATGGAAAAAGATCTTAAATGGCACTTTTGGGGCGGACTGAGGAGAGATAAAGAGAGCATTGTCAGAAAGGCTCTTTCTCTTCGTTTGTAGATAGCAATCCATTCCTTAGAAAACATAAGAACATGCATGCAGGCCTGGAAATTCCCCCTACTCAGTCAAAAACCTGACAAAACCCCAACCCTTTCAAAAAAAAAAAAAAATTTGGAAACCCCCTTATCTTTTTTCTTGGATAGTTAAGCTTAATCAAAACTTATTAAAAAATGAAAAAAAATCAAAACTGATTTCTCCTCCGACTCAACCAAGCATGATCTTTGTAATCCTCTTGAATCAACCTCCTCATTCTTTTGATTTTTTTAAAATGGGTATAAGGACTAATATGAATGCTTGTCTTTAAGCCATTGCCTTGCTCCCATTATTTTTTTCTATGGGGAAGGTGGTAGGTAAGATGGTTTTGTGGGATTGAAAAATCAAATTGAGAAAGAAATCACAGTGACTATGCATGAGCTGAGAGAGCCAATAACGGCTCTAGGCATGGATCTCCGATAAGCATTAATGTCTTCGTAATTACGTATAAAATCTTATGAAATCAAGACTTCAATTCATCGAAAACGGATCTTGAGTAACTAATCAGGGCTTAAACCCACAACCCCAAGGTTCAAACTTCCTACTATACTCTCTCTCTGCTAATGTTTTTCTTCTTGCTGCATTTACATGTTATGAGCAGACGGACAAAGCTTCTCTGCTGGCAGAGGTGATCCAGCACGTGAAGGAGCTCAAACGCCAAACAGCAGAGATAGCAGAAACGATGCCAATCCCCACCGAAACGGACGAGCTCACAGTCGACCCTGACGACTCCTACGGCGAAGGAAAGCTCGTCATAAAAGCCTCCATCTGTTGCGAAGATAGGTCCGATCTCTTCCCCGATATCATCAAAGCCCTGAAAGCCTTGCGCCTCCGTACTCTAAAAGCCGAGATCACCACGCTCGGCGGTCGCATCAAGAACGTTTTGCTAGTTACTAATGAAGAAGAAGGCGAAGGCAGAGAACAAGACTCAAACGCTCCTTCGATCAACTCCATACAAGACGCTCTCAAGGCTGTGATGGAGAGGCCACTCTCTGAGGAGTCCTCTTCAACCAACATAAAGAGACAGCGCACTAATGCTGCCATGCTTGAACACAGGTCCATGTAAACAAAAAGGGAAGAGAGAGAAAGGACCTTTTTCCTCTCTCTCTCTCTCTCTACTACTCCACATATAGTTAGTTAGGAACTGAACACT